ATTTATACATATATAAAAGACAGGGGGAAGCAAGACGCCTACAATAATTATATGAAAGAAGGCAAAATATTAATTCTACGGCTATTATTAAAAATGTTGTGGTGACAGCGGCGTCATATATTCTATTTGAAAAATGCTATGTTTAGTCCAAACAAGAGCATCATGGAACGATCACGTACCTTGCTATTATTTACGGTTTACATCAATACTATTAATTATACTGTTGTGCCACAAAACCGTGCTGGCGACCAGAGGTAAAAAACGTCTCGTCAATAGACCAAAAAGACACGAAAACGCCCGCTAGTACAGACCGCGATCTAATCTAAATTCGTTACCAACAGCCAGTCTATCGTGAAATAATAGAAGAAAGAGTGTAAAAAAAAAAAAAAAAAAGCCAATAGTAACACGCGACATCGGACGAAGGGGAAAAGTAAGAAATGGAACAAGTTACATTGACGATACGTACACGAATACAGACTCGTACGGAACCCCTACTCCAATAGGAAAATATCAAGTGAACTACAAGGAGTACCAGGACTATAATTACAACTCTGAGAGAGCAAAAACGATAGCAACTACAACATACGAAAATCATCATAAATCCGATTAAAATGAATTTATGTGACCGATAAAAAAGTCCAACGATACATACTGTAGTATTGCTACTGTGAGCAGCAGCAGCAACAGACAACCGATTAAAGCAGACACAGATGCACAGAAACGAAACAAAGATTAAATAAATATAATTTGATCCTATTTTAAATGATCAATATTGCCGTTACTACAATCATTTATTTATATATGAGTTGATATTAAGGCTCAAGCGGCAGGACTTGCTTCCAGCATCGAGTGCCGAGAAAAGTAGGTGACCTTTTTAAAAGTTAGAAGCCAATTTTCTAAATGTTCATCCAACTTTGCATCGTTCACGTTACCGTTGCCATGGAGAAATTGTGCTAGTGCAGCTCCTACGATTGCTTGTTGGCGATCTTCACTGCTACAAATCAGTGTTCTGTCGAACGTAAGAAATTATCAAAATCCACTGATCAAATGATGCTGATCTGATAATGGCCATGTATAGCTAATTATACTAATTAAAACTAAATTAATATGATATCATTAGGATAAATCTATACGCTACTATTATTATTATTATGCTCGAAGTTAGAGAACATGTTTAATGACATGTTATATATAGCATTTTTACAGAAAATGACTGTATATCTATCGCCATTTTGTCTAAAAACGTCGATCCGCTTTAATATACTGTAGTACGAAAAATGTTCGAGGAAAGTAAAACAGCTTGCTTCTTTTATTTTCCCATTTATAGGGTTTCTAGTAGGTAAGCGGGTTTCTGCACTAATCATTTCAAGAGAGCTGAGAACTTCCTAACGGACACTTGGGCGGCAGATTACAGAGCCATTATATTTATAGCTTAAAGGGCGCGAGGTAGCTGAATGATGAGACGTACTGCCTGACAAGCATTCGGCAGGCCACTGCAAAGTCTCTAAGCAAGTGGATTTGACGAAAGAACTATTAGACGTTTTTCGATCAAGATATACGATAGTGTCAAGGGATTATTTTTATATATGCGTTTTTCATTATAGCGTACATGTAATTTTATAAACAAGACCCTTATAAAGACTAGCATTTTTTTTCTGTTTAAAAAAAACCTCGAATGCGTCTAAACAATATGGTTTAAAAATTTGTGTTAAAAATATCCAGTGATGATGGAAGTCGGGACAATGTACCTTCCGCACTCCATATAAGCATGTATTTTTATGCTCAACAGACACTAAAAAATTGAAGTAAACCGATGTGTCCTAAAAGGCTTTAGGATTGCAAGGTTTTATTTGAACTGGGAACAAAAATATTCCGTTTTAGGTGCAACCTTCAAAGATTACGGAGTTCGAAGACCTTACAAAAATAATTCAGAAGCTGAATTAGTTACGTTTGCAACAACAAATTATATGTTGAAGATTAGCTATAAACTGCCGAAAATAAATATACATAAAGATAAAGACGACTCCTGTAATTCAAGCTTCAGTAGCAGAAAAGAACGATTATGAAGCTATTGAGCTGACAAGGTTGTAAGTTTAACGAAAAGCTTCGAGTGGAAGTCCAGGCGTCCTTAGAGAACCGAGGTACTCTATAACGAGTTCAAAGTGGTATCGTTAGCACGGCCAGCACTATCAAAGCAGATTAAGTTAGTGCTATATCGATTCATTCTTTTGTAATCAGTACAAAGTCTATAAGAAGTCCTAGAACCAAAGTGTTAGTTCGTACGAAAATTGCTTTGAAGATAACTCTTCTTCCAGATCTTTAATTATTTCTTCAATGCTCAAAAATTTACCAACATCGTCAAAAGCTCGTCTGATAAATAGTCAACAAATTTCTTTGTTAATTCAATGGCATATTTTAAATTGATTTGCATAGGTACAACTTATCATTTGCATACGATAATTAACATAGATATAAATGCTTTACGATAAGGAGGCAGTATCACAGGAACGGAAAACGAATCAAATAGCGGACGAGAATTGAAGGCGCACAGACAAAGAAAACGTAACACATTTTCTCTGCATGTGCACAGGCACCACCTCTGGATTACTGAAGTCACGTAAATCAAATATTTACGGTTAGCCATATTGGCGGCATTGAAAGCGAGCATCAGGTCTGCTGCTACAAAATAGGAATGGTTCTTTACGGGTACATTCTAATTTCCTAGGGCTCTTCCTACGGGTAAGGTAGGTTCTTACCATGAACGAAATGTCAGTAGGCTAAATACTTGTCACCCAGGTGCCACGATTATCTTTTGAGCAGCGTTTAACGGAAGAACTGCATGCAGGACTCAAAACACTTAGGTTCCGTAACAGATCAGTCCCACATTACTGCGATCATAAATTTCTCCACTAAACTGACGTCCTACTCCATTTTACTGTCTATCAGGTGAATAATCTAGAATTCCCTTAAACAAATATAATAATTCTTCATGTTAGAGAACGCTGTAGATATGAAAACGCCACCAACTACTTGATAGATAAAAAACAAAGTTTTGAATTTGTGTGGCCCCAGCTCGCGAATTGCAGCAATAAAACATCCTTCTACCGAAATGTAGTTGCTCAGATTCTTTGTCCTCTTGGAGGTTCAGATAGGGGCCCCAACGACTCTTACGTAGAGCCATGTCTTGATCAGGTGCCTCCAATTGGTACCGATATGCACCTGACCGATGGTAATCAGCACCGAAAGATGATAGATACGCACTAGTAATTTCAGCGATGACTGGAACAAGACTACCTTTGCCTGTGTCCAGGCAAATTTTCCTCCGTACGTAAGCAGAGGACCTAGACACTTACGTGAAGTACCCACCCGCAAAAGTGAAATGACGTCTGTCGACATGTTATCTTAAATGGTAGCCGCTTATATAGATAAGCCATTTTTAAAGAAACTTAACCTATACGGGCGAGGGCGTCGCGCTTTGTCCCGTGCTGCATAGGGTAGTACTTATAGTACTCCGCGAACCGGACAAGAAGTACTTGCACTAAACATGGCTATCCACAGTAATCAAACCATTTCTAGATGTCGGTGGTGTTTTACGATCAACAACTATGGAGATGTGCAAAGAATCAAGAATAATGCCACGTTCTTTAGGTATCTGATCATCGGATTTCAAGTTTCTTCTTGAAGATTTTTGATCTATAGAAATTCAACTCGATTGTCTTAACTCGAAAAGCTCATCTCCATACGTGCCCATTTTGAACTTATCAGAGCGCCGAGTTAATATGCTGCAGATTATTTCAAAAAGAACGGAAACTTGTTCGAATCAGGCTGTATATACAAAAGAATCTCAAAAACTGAAGATGAACTCTGCACAGCCTCACCCGATCAAGGATATGCATTGGTTCCTCATCCCTGCCAATTTGTAAAATATTGGCGGGAATTCAAAGAATTAAATGCCCTCGCAACATCTGTCCAGCCACGTAACCATATTGCAAGATTAATTGTGAGCTGCGCCCCTGGAAAATTAGAGCGATGTAATAAGATTACAAACCAATTCGGAAGCGTTACTACAAAAGTCGAGGATTGTGGTGGGATAACTATAAACAAGAACGACGCGTCGTCATAGACGATTCTTATGGATGAATAATATAGGACCTACTCTTAAAAATTCTCGACAAACACCCATATCATGTCCAGTGCAATGGAGGTTCTTACGAGTTCATCTCGGAATAGTAATATACATTTCTCAAAATAGTAAAATAGTTTTCAAGGTATGACCCCTCTTCTCTTGAAAGGAGAATTTACTTTTTTCTAACACAATCCCCAGATTCTTTGTTCTCCTGGAGATTCGGACAGGGGCCCCAGTGGAGGGGAAGATAGCGACACTCTATTAAGACAGCGGACTAAAAGGGCGCTTGAGCAACGACAAACATTCTGCTTTCATAACTGTTAATTTCAAGCTATTGGCAAAGGAGCCTCTAGACGTACGCAGAACGTTCGTATTTTTCGATGTGATATCCACTGATCAATTTACTGAAAGTAACCCCTTGATCTAATTGCCACTGCAAACCGCAACGATCCAGAAATTGTCTTTCGAGTTGCAAAACTGTTGGGGTTTTATTGATGCATCGAGCTTTCCCTTATCTCATCTGAGAATTGTATGACTTATGGTGGCAATATTATTATTGCAAACATGGCTTCCATACGACAATCGATGCTCCTGTTCTTACACTCTGTATATCAAAGAAAAGCATTTACTGCAGTTAAAGTGGGTTACCTTTCTGAAAAATTTACACGACTGGAACATTGCACCTGTTGGAATTGGAAAGTCTTACAGAGTTAATATACTCTTGAATGGCGTATAAATATTCGTTAACGTAGGTTGATCTTTTTCCATGTAAATCGAGTGTGTAGAAACGATTGGTCTTTATCAGATTTCAATACATGCAACGCAAATATGTTGAGCTGATTTTTGTGGCATTTTTTAAAAAATAAATAATTACTTTTTATACGGCCTTTTCCATATGACCTACTTAGCAAAAGCTGGCTTTAGGTTTACTAAGGAGTCGATGTTCAGTTCATCCGATACGAGAGGTTTCATGTCCAGTTCATTCTTGTTATACATTCAATTATAACATTCGTCGCTTCGAAGCCTCCCGAAGATCTCAGTTACAGACTGTTCATGCTTAAACTATTTACATTCTGTATCTTTTCTATAGACAGCAAGGATCCTTAATAAATATGGTTATAAGTTGAATTATCGCTGGCAAAATACTGCGACTTATACGTGTAGACGTATAGATAAATGGGTAGAAATGCCCAGGATGCAGTCGTTACTTCGAATCTGAAAATAAGAACGTACTAATATCATCATATCGAATAAACTTTTTTTTTTTTCGCCTTTACAGCGCTACAAAGCTGGTGAAGGCGGAAAGATTTTGATCACTTTAGCGCTCCTTTAGCATCAATAACAATGCAAGCTTATGAAATTGCTACATACGCTTCATATTGTATAAACTAGACAAAAATATAATAATAATGCCCCTATGCTTTTTGGATATCGTTACTAATTGTGTGACAGCCATCCTAGTTCTAGCAGTGAAAGAGGGCGTTCGATTGACTATATAAAAATAACGTTACGATAGAGTTTCACATTTTCGGATGAGGGATACATTCTCATTTTAGAGCTATTCGAGTAAGAGCTATCCGTACTTGTTGAAGATGGACTAAAGAAAAATCTATAAACGAATTTGAACCTAGTCAAAGATGCGTAGCTATATCAGTTTGGTTGGAAAGAGCGTGTTCTTTTTGGCTGTAGTGAAGACGGAGAAAACTTGCTAACTCCCATAACGCACTAGATCAGTTTTTTTTTTTTTTTTTTTTATTATATTAAGATACTTGCCTAAAGTCATTCCATATAATAGGATAAGCAGAGTCACTGCAATAGAGATGAGATATAGGCCATTCTATTCAAGCAATTAGATTAGAAATAATGGCATAACTTTACCTGATAAATAACTGTGAGTATCGCAAAAAGTATTTTCTAACAGCAATATTCTTGCAGAAATCAGACTTTTTTGCTTCTGTTGTACTAAAGTTGGATAGTCCTATATATTTAGATTTTAAATGCTTACGTTCGTGTTTCCACTGATATCGTTGATAGGCTCATAGCGTACACCGCAAGTGTGAGAGAAAATTATATCTCCGATTTAGAACTATGTCACGTACCAGAAAAGCAATCTGAGCGTGGTGATTGCCAAATGGCAGGCAATATTGAAAACCAATAGTCTGAACCAGTACGATCTGACCCACTACACACAATGCGTCTTATGAAAACATATTAGGAACAGCTGGGTTTGAGTTTCTCTCACGCATACTCTTAATGCTAATTTAATGTTTTTGATAGAGACTCAGATTTATTGCAGATAAACAAATTTCCATTGCCTGAAAACTACCAAGGGTCCACTGGGTCTCCAGCTTAACAACCAGCCGGACCAGAGATTACTGTAACCTTTAATCATTTTATGACGACCGTGTCGTATCTTCGGTTAGTCATGACATAAAGAATATCGTCCTTTAGTCGAAAGGGTTGCAGGCTCAATCAATAAATAAAAGCACTATTTCTCAATGGGATTTGAAGTTATTCAGGGTTCTGCCTACTTGGGAATGGTCATAAAACAGAAACAAGCAGGTATAGTAGCTATTTTATGTACCTTGCAAGTTATAAATATGTATCAAATACACATTTGTTTTTTATCTTAAATCATTAAAATGATCATTATGAAAAACATGTTTGAATAATAAGGAGACATAGGTCATTACATTTATTAAATAAGCTACGAGAACAAAGTCGGGCTGTGTGCCCAACAGACAGATCGAACTTTACCACGCAAACATACACGCACATGCACAAAAGTACAATCTAATTCGTTTACTATTTATACTGTGTAAGAGCATATAGGCAGGTGAAAATATTTTTTTCGAGTATTTTCCTAGAACCGGACAAGCGATACCTTCAACAGCCGAATACGCTGCCGGTTGGTTTAGCGGCCGGTTGATGGCCGTGATCGGTCGAAAACACCGGCCGCTCTTCCGGGGTATCTATTTGCTTGAAATAATGATAGTACATTTCGTTTTGCAGCTTCATGTTCGGGACTTAATGTCTATACCTGACTTTCCGAGTACACCGCGCCATGGTCATGAGTTCTGTAGCATGGTACCCCTGTGTTCAAGTTTTGTTTGATATCTATGGGCAACAATTAGCAGCTTGCCCAAGTCAGCACATGAGCCGATCGCCGACACTATATTTCACAACTGTAGGGACTACATATATTTCCATAGTAGGCATTATTAACACGGTGTACTAGACAGTGTCTTGTTCCTATGGCAAAAAATGTTTGTTTCCGTCCAGGTATGAAATTGTTTATAAGACGCTATTGAGTTGAAACTTTCGACGAAAATGCAGTAAATTTGTTATATTATTATCATCTATGGGAAGCCACCGACAACTATTTCAATTGCAACTTTCACAAAAATCGTACGGAACCAGTGAACGTTCGGTCGGTTTAGTAAGCAGGACACTCGGATACACAATTTAATACTGAAGATATAAATAGGTAATGAGCGTACGTTAGGCACCGTTCTGACGTCGCGATACGTCTGGAGAAGTACTGATCTTTTTTCACTTCTTGGCCAATACACTTTTGCGTGTCCAAAATCAGAGTCCACTATAAATTTTATATTTGACTACCATCGAAGGAGACCAATGCAGTTGAAAATGACGGCGATCGTAACTAGTATAGCTTTCTTTCCCTAAAAATTCCAGCAGCGATCTATGCACCCCTGGACATATCTCGACGTCGAACGAATAAATAGTTTTCTTTGTGCTCTTGTGTGTGTATAAAAAGCAAGAAATAAATAATTTACTACGATCACACCTTGAACGTCCATACGTTTTGACAAATGAGTAACGGTGTCAAGGACATGGATAGCATGGATATATATTTAATGGTCGAACAGCTCTGCTTGTAACCTAACGACGGAGTCCAGTTCGTGGAGGCACTTAGCCAACTTCATCAATACATCGAAGGTCTTTGTCGAGCTATAAACCTTGACTCTCTACTTTGTCTCAGATCTATATCACTGAAAATTAGCCGCATATCCTCGTTTATCAGTAGTCGCATTGCTTCATGTTTAAACCTTATATATTTAAGAGTCGTCACGTCTTACTGATTTTGTGAATGTTTTCCTCTATTGATAAAGGGATCCAATAGCTATAGGCAATATATGCAATTGTAGTTATATGGTTCTGAGATATCGTCAACGGCGTCGATTTCCACTGAATGCTATGGAATCTTTTCTATCATTTACTCTGACTACGATGTTTGCTCACAGCGTTGGTTAAGGCTTCATTTAATGAAACTGCGCTCTAATAGAACTATGCCGTGTTTATATTGTAGTGCGTTGCTTAACTCTCTAACGCTTTTATCTAAGTTCAGCCGTAGACGCAGTCAAGTTAATTTTTGACGGTACTATTCTGTGAACGATTCGGCACGGAAATCATTTGGACCACTTTATCCGAATTTCTAGCCAGCGGCCGATGGCATTTAGATTAAACTGTTGATGGTTTGGTATTGTCAGAAATAGCTGCCTTCTCGTTTCTACGGGCGCGATATTTCTACTATACGCTACGATGGAGGTGCATTGGTGCGTTTTTTCAAAGGGCAAAATTATACCAATAATTCAATACCATCTTAACGAGCTAGCCCCAAACGTTTACAACTATTACGTATTTTGATTGATCGGGTACCTGTATTTATGTATCATTCTCGTTTGCTAGCTCAATGTCATTATTAGAATGAGACACATGCGATTCAACTGTTACCAAAAAGTCAATGAAATACGATGAGCAATATCTGAAAGCAGACCTGATACCATTTATGAGCCAATCTGGAGCATTGCAAGGAATCTGTCATGAAGATGATGGTTTTGTTCTGACGGCGAGCTGATGCCAATGATGGGAGGTAATGATCATTATTTACGGCTATTGTCACTGGCGTTTCTCGACATTTACTGGCCTCTTATATGACACTTGATAGCGATTTTCCATTGGACAGCTTCACCTGCTACTTCTTTTTGAAATGGATGTGGTTTGTGGAGATAAGGTTGACCAGTCGTTGGGCGGGACTGCAGCGTTCTTCGTCCGATGCATCCTTGCAATCATGCTGGCCATCGCAACGCCACACTTGCGGGATACAGATACCGTTAGAACAGCGGAAATCTCCAGAAGTGCACTCTGCGAAAAATACCGTAACAAATGAAATACATCGCTAGAAAACTGCAGCCGACATCTAAAGTTGACTGCGGATTCAGTTGAAACGTCAAAGTAAATATCCCTCGCTACATAGGAGTTACTTTTTTTTTCTTATTTTTGCGTTCTAACAATGAAATCCAATTAATCGTTTAACGAATAATGCGTCGCTTGTAAGTGTAAGGAGATTATGCACTCCGAGAAAGTTTGCATAGAGCACCTGTCCTCTTATCGCAGTCTAGTTCATCAGAACGGTCTCTGCATTCAGCCTTTCCGTCGCAAACCCATCGTTTCGGGAAACATCCGGACCCGTCATGGCACTGGAAACGATCTGGGCCACACTCTGCAAACGAACCAGGTGTAACCCGAACGTAATTTGCTAGCAACAGCAGGGTAAATTCAGACGTTACCGCTTGTCTTTGCTTGTTTCAGACAAATGAAAAATACGCCTGCTGATGACTTAAAGGGCCAAATCATCGAGGACCTAATCATAATTTACCTAATTTAATGACAATTAACATACATTTACGAGACCTCGTGTTATTATCACACATAAGAAATGAGCTCACAGAAAGAGATAATATTAGCTCGGACTCACATTTTCTTAGTATTAGAAATTCAAAAACGCGTTCTACAAGCCGTCAGTTCATTGCGGGCCTTTACTTAATGCGCGATATTTTATCTAGAGCGAATAATTAATGCCAGAAACATTGGATTGGTAATGCTAAATTAACCGATAAACTCGCCAATGCAAGCCGTTCCTATTTCTAGGTGTATGCATATTGCTATGATACATTTTACCAAGTAACTCTACATGTGTGGTACTAAACGTCAAGCTTCTTGCATCCGGAAAAGAGTGTACGATTTACCTAGTAAGAGCTATTTCGAGGTCGCTTTTAGTTACATCCATAAGTTCTGTGGATCGCTAATGCGTTACTTGTACTACTAGAAATAAGTAGAAAAACTCTGGTTGTTACCAGAGATTCCATTAGATATGATGTTCGTATGAAATCAACGCCAGTGGGCGAGGTAGCAATACGATTTTTCGGGAACATCTCTTACCTCGACGGGGCCGACACCCCCGTTCGTCGGCACCGTCCATACAGTCTTTTTCTCCATCGCAACGCCACGTTTTCGGTATGCAGCGGAAATCGCACTGGAACTCCTCGTCATTGCATGCTGAAGTGAGAGCGACGATGTACATGTAAAACAAGACACGTGAACAGCTAAATTTGTCGGCCATCTATCAGGGTCTCAATATAAACATATGCGCTTCATGTGGATGAAGGTTGCCCTATTGACGCTCTTTGCTTACGACATATGACGTAATCATTGGGTGAGGTCGATTTTTGTTGGGATGGCTAGAATGTGTAAGGTTTCTGCTATTAGAAAAGCATGCCTTAATTTATTGAGTGCAAGTCGGTAATGTAATGCTTGAGAAGCACATTGTAGTAACAAGACACGAACATGTACAGTTAGCCTCATCGGCGGCGAAGGCACAGTCACGAACGCCATCACACCTCCATGCCTTGGGGATGCACGACTGGTCTGGACATTGAAACTCGCTTGGCAGACAAGCTAAAAAGTAACAGCAAGAAATATGATTGATTCGCACATTCTATACACATTTGCGCTGTGTGCCCATTGTATGAATAAAAAAAGTTTAGCCTTTAATGATATGTTCGAAACTTACGTATCTTAACCTAAAGGAACGCATCGGTACCCGCACCCTGTCTTGGAATACGGATTCAGTCAGTTCATCATGTGAAAGATAATTATGTATGTGATGATACATGAGTGGGCGCTATCATTTAAATTGCTTATGAATATGGCAGTAACTTCTTTCTGCCAACTGTTAAGGAATGAGTCGTACCAATTTTTTATCCTAGCATAATAAGGTTGACTGGCAGAATCGTCATATACATATACGCTCGTAACTTGTTGAAACCAAAACAATACTCATGATAACAAATCAATACCAATGGGATAGCATGCTGGCAGGGTACATACGCACAGGGGTTTTTCGCGAGATTAAGACAAACAGCTGAGTCCTCAGAATCTGGGTAGCGGGTACAATCGAACACCTTCGACATTGACAGGCGTGCCGGAATGAATTTTTGGCAACCCTCCGTCGCGACTGAAATAATAATTACAAATAAACATAATATACTTCTCTAATGGTTCGAATACGGTTCAGCCATACTCTTTCGCAGGCACTAATCGAACTGACTATTAGTGATAATGATCCAGTCCACGTTATGCCGTGACCGGTCAAAATAGTTCCTATCAAAATAATAATAAATATGTATAAAAATGTAAATGCGTAATTGTCTAGTATCTGTTAATATCCGTCAGTGTCCTTTAAGCTGAAGCTATTAATGCTACAGGTAGTCAGGATATTCAGGGTTGACAGACTGCTATACCCAAAAGCCTTGTTGGCTAAACAAAAAGCACACTATACCTCTGAATAGTTTTTACGCACGTATCTATATATGTGTCTGGCAAAATTGTCGCTTATAAAAAAGCACAGGATATATATATATATATATATATATCCATGTGATACCTTCGAGCATGATTAATGTACCTAAATGACGGTGGCTGGAAATGGGCTTACATGGATCGTGAGACAAAGATTAAGATGCGGCATGCGTAACGCGCGCGTATAGTAGGAAACAGAGAAGGCTCGACAAATAATTGGTAAATGCTTCGAACGGCTACTATAAGTATCAACGAAAAAGATCATTGCTCTTTTCGTCTCCATATCAGTATCAACACAAATTTTTACAAACCAAATCAATGTTGAAAAGCAAGCATTTTAGCCTCGCTTGGAAACAAATGCCGAAGAATGCTCCAGTATTCATGCTCCAATCTTGCAATGTTCGGTTATTCTATATACTCAATGTATTTTATTGCCCGTATCCAATTCTGGCGCATTTTTCATTTGTGGGTTGAAATGTTTCGGTCTGATTTATTGCATCAAACTTGAACGTTTGTGTAGCCACAGGACGTGTAGTTCATTTTTTTTAACGTAACCTCCCAAATAGTAGGGTTTTACTACTAGGCACGTGACGACACTTCTTACTTGTGATCGAATGACTCGGAATAAACCTATTGTGGCAGACTTAGCGGTAGAAGCATTCAAGTTAAGAACGTTTCTTTTCTGTATAAACACACTGTCTACTGAAACTTAAATACACATAGCATGACGAAGGAAGGAAAAACAGAAAGCAAATGATGTGTGATTAGACTTAAGTAGAATGTGACAGTTGTATTATTGCTATCATTGATATCGCTACCAGCCCTGATGTTGTCATCGTACGCGTTTGTTTTGAGACTACAGTTTTCGTAGCAAAAGCATCTCTGGGCTTCATAGCTAACATTCATTATTTAACTTGATCAGGTGTTAATCCACTTCAGACATGCAGGGTAGACATACACAAGCTTCTTTGCCTTTTGCCGCATCCCTTCAGTAGACGGTTTGGGGGAAACTGGAAAAATAACGGACTAAAAAATCGTTTCTGCGTTCAATGTCCGCCGCCGAAGACAGAGGCAGTAAATAGATTACGTATCAATTCGATGCACTTTTTCACTGCGTCCTGTTACTGCCATGATGCGTCGACATAGTTGCTTGCTCAAGAGTTTCGGCGAGTTCACGATAAAAAAAAAAGGTGATGATAGACAACAGAAGCCAAGCGAAAGCAGCGGCTAATTGGATAGACTCCCTGGTACACAAGTCTGGCCTAATCTCGCGGAAATGGATTTTGGAGAAACCTCATGCAGCCGCCTTTAGTGACGATGTGTTTTCTTGCAACGAAGAAAAAATAGAGGACATTCGCACCGCGCACGGTTCGACGATGACGATTACATGAACAATAGACGAGAAAATGAACCAATAGAATGGATGCTCCGATCATTAAAATTAATTTTTGAAACTTGTCGCTTCGTGGTATGGCCGTTTGCCGCTATTTCGGAGCGTCCAGTTCCTACGTATTAATAAAGTGAACCAGCAAAGAGACGACCCAGTTCAATTCGATGCAATGTAACAATACTATGGTCATATGGGTGTTGAAACATACAGATTTGTTAGAGTTCATTTGATATTCAGATGTCTAAAGCATGGCCTACAAACAGGCTTATTTTTGCTTTTGTACGAATCGTGAGTGAATCAGATCGATACAAAATCAGCTATTTTTTTTTTCTTTTTTTACTAATTATAGATGAGTATGTAACAGCACAAGGAAACTATTTTTTGCCATATACCGAGCTCATTACATATCATTTAGTTGTTTGCGGAAGAACAAATCAGCCCTAATTATCTCATTTTTGGCCATACGCGATGCCGAACGTAATCCGTACAAACAGTGGGTAACCACATGAATGCCTAGACCGATTAAAGTAGTTAAAGGAGTAAAGGAGTAGCTAGCACCGATTTAATTCCCCGATGTACATTCGAATAGGTGTAATAACCTGCAGCTTATGTGTTTAACAATAATTGTCTAATCGGGTGAAACCCAGTTAAAGGCCTGCCGTCGTGCAAATGGTGACGGTGGCCCGGACAACTGTGAAAGCGCAAGAAGGACTAAATAGCAAACCAGAAGCGAGAAGGAAGCAATGAAGCTACTTAACAGAGGTGCGTCAAACCCTCAATTAGCTGCGACTTGGCGATCAGTATCTTAGGTGTGTCCGGATCTCCGTTCTGTTAATTGCCGGAGGAACAAGAACTTGTTTATTTCTGTCTCCGATTCGATTAGTAGGTCCTAGTATGCCAGGAACCAGATTATTTTTTACAATAGTACGTTAACGATAAAGGACGAGTCGAATTACGGCGACATGTGTCTGATGTTAGAGGTCGCTTAGAAAACATTAACACCGGTACGATGCCATCATCTTTGATTTTAACCAGCATCCTACCATGGTGCAATATGTAAGATTCGAGGCAAGCAAGAATATAATGTAATGGCGGATATAATAGAAAAGTAACGAGAAAAAAAAATAACATTTAAAGATAGCGATACGAGTTGTTCCATATCGGTGATACACAGAGGCATGATACACTGCCTAAATGTCTAACAGAAACCCAATACAAATGTCAACAGAGACCCAATAAAACAAAGCCCTGTACAGCGTTTGCGGTTAAACGTGACAAAACTATATAAAAAATAAAGTAAACATTACAATAAGACATGTTAGTGACGAAAATGAATTATGACCAAAAGACGAAAGTTTTGGACAATGCACAACTAACAAAACGTGTTCGCAGGCTACTACAACGATAGGTGGTAATAAAGCAACACTGAGGATGATCATATAGAAGTGTACAATGATAATGCGTCAACGAAGGCTATATGTGGGTATAATTTTTGTACCGCATCGGGCGTTTTTTTAGAAACGCTAAGTATTACTCAATAAATATTGCATAATCGTGTCAGTCAAATAAAAATTCTGCCGATCGTACTTATAGATGTGAAGACGCTTGAAATTGTTGGTCGAAAATACTTTGCACTGGCGTATTCTACATGATGTACGTACAATCCTTTTGTATAGAAGGTCTAGGAAGCTACCACACGTGACCACGCGTTGCTTGTCGGCGATGTGTCTTTTCTGACATTCGCCATTCTGGAGACGGGCCGGGGCGGCCTTTTTGTTCCTTTCTAGTCCTATATATTTAGAAAAATTATCTTTTACGTTTAATTGTGCCACACCCGAAAATTGACTCCTTTCAAAGCTGGCCAGCTATAAGCTTACGTCACTGTCAATTTTCAGAAGTGTGCTCACCTTCGAAAGGTTACGGATTGATCGTCGTCGATCAACTGGCAATTGTCCGACACTTCGTTTGTTTGAAAGAGTGTTGAACGAAGGAAGGAACACTCCGCTGCCACAATCGACAACAATTGCACTGAGACTATCACCGAATTTTGCTTTGGGCGAGATATAATTCCAGACTTAATAGCAACAACAACGCAACCTATAGCATTTTCGATCCGCGATGACACTTTTAGCCTCGAAATTTCTTCCACCCCTCCTTCACTGTTAAGCGATAATTTCCCTAAAAAATATAGAAATCAACGATTGCTTGACAGCTTTACATTACAATACGGCCTCAAAAGCAACAAGTGTTAATATTTTCATGACAGGGACATGATAGGCTAACTGTCTTGAACCAAGAGAAATCAGCAATGACGACTTGTGCAGACGGCAAACAAGGCGGAGCAAGAGAAATCATTGTCACTGCTCCACGATAAACCTTGACGTTTGCGCTGGCAGAAATGATCGGTCACAACGTTGATCGCATGATGATAGGCTACGCTTATAAGAGTATTGAACTAAAGCCAGTAAATTTACAGTTTAACTAACAACTGATCGCAAAATAACGTTTCACTAACGAAATTTTACAGTTTATACCAGTCGATATATCTAACACTCCATTTTGAGTCATTATACTTAATAAACTATATACTGCTTACACGAAAATTATCTTCCACGTGCAATTGATCACCGACTTGGATTTCGTTATGCATCATTATTGTTTTTGAAATTTCTCCTAAATTATTCACGGCTCCAAAAGGCCGAACTAATTACGGAGGCATATTTTATCTCGGCCATGAAGGTCGTTAGCAGCAGAAAAAAACAGAACTTTTTTTGAAAAGAGTTCACGGAAGCTCTATAAGGTATCATACTGAACTGGGTTTGTGCTTAATCCTTCATAACAAAATCAGAATATGTTTGAAAGCCTTTGTTTTAGTCATTCAACCTGCATCAATAATCGTCAATTTAAAATATACGTAATGCGGCAATATTTTGTAGGCACTTTGTGTTACAGCCCAAGCAAGCTGGAGTGGAAAACCACCCAAATTGCGTATGTGATGGGATTTTTCGCTTGTATAATGGATTGAAGAAGTTATCTGTCTACCTATAGATTGATATAATACTAAGTAACGTAAAAATCAGGTTATTTTTTGGGGATTTCGTTGTTGGCAGATGTAAAACGTACACGACACAAACACGTAACCAACTAAAGATACCTTTGCAGAATTTCCGGCAAGGCAGCGTCACTTTTCCGTGCTGGCAGGGTGGCTCGAGTAGAGCGCAGACGAGCTGTTTCATACGAGGATTACAGTTGTCCTATAAAAATGAACGCAACTTAATGTTTGGTTCCACCGAATCATAGAACTAGCGATATCGATATGTACAAGAAAAATGACGGTTGTCTACAGAAAACATGGCACGGCAATCTTACAAAATATGGATGACAGACGAGCTTTCGCACATAACATCTGCATAACGGACTGGGAATTTATAAGGGAGTTAAAGCCGAAAGTAACTCAGCGTTCCTGATCTATAGAGGAGCAAACGCTCAAGCGGCCTGTATAATCTAAATACACAGTAAAAATACCACATTCTTCGATGCTTCTCACGTTCCAAAACAACGACAAGAGTAGCAATAACCAAAATGCAAGAGTCCACTTCTTTTTTCTAGTCTCTAGCTTCTACACATTATGGCCTGACTCCTGCTGATAGTGCTACTAAGCTATATTGACCTTTTAAAGGCATTTAGAATAAAATGACTGCTTTTAAATGAGAACGCTCTGTTGCCAACGGGTAACTTCACCTGGCCTATTACAACTTTACTAATAACATTCAGAAGTACGCTGAATGCAGAAAAATTAAGCCGATACAAGCAAATTTCACGAGTAAAATTCAAAGTATTGGCTTAACTTTTTCTAAGTATAAAAGTCATTCGTCGATGTATGGACACCCTGAGCGGACGCCTTACCTAAGGAAAGCCGAACTGTGATTTTATCGTTGCTCTCATTAATGGTAACGTAGAAGCGTATAAGCTATGCGGACGTTTGTTTTGAATATCTCTCTGATGAAACTCATTTGAGGCCATGGTCAATAACACTATTATGCATTAGTAGCGTTGTCATTATCTGTATGTCTCACCTTGAGTAGATATTGGAAGAACAGAAGAGACCGGTTCATAGCGGCTATATCCTGGTCTCCTACGAGATTAGGAAACATCGTTTCTTTATACGGTAGAACGTCACGACAAAGCGACAAGGAGCGCTTCATGCAGCGACTAGCTGTTATTCAAAAGAAACAATATTTAAAAACAGGCATAAATAAAATACACATTTTTTTTCTTTGGCAGAACAGTAAACATCCTACTTAATTCACGCTGCTCGTTTAAGTATATAGCGCCGAAATAAGCACGTTTTTAAGGCTTTTGATCCTCCCTTCTGTGTAAACAAGTCTTCGGAATCATCTTTTTAAATATAGCATTAAGGATTTGTCCTTGTTAGGGTTCTAGATGAGGTTGCTATTATTGAACTTAACTGAGGTTTCTCCAACAGCCGTATGAAACAGTATAATAATTATGCTAGTATCCAGTGATTCCTGGCAAATAATGAATTCCATTTACGTCGAAAAGACACATTTACTTGACACTGAAAGAGCTCAAAGGTCGATTGTATTCTGGAGCAGTATTCTACTATTGCGCAAGAATAGTCAGCGTCCGATGAGTCTCCTGCTATGGTCAGCCGGCATCAGACCCATTTAGGCCCATTGCATATTGGTGGTTTTATTTTCATGCGGGATTTTTATTAAATTTACGTTTCATGCTTATATCGACGCGCAAAGACAAAAAGAAAAACATCTAGTCATTTTCTTATATTTCACTTACCTATTTATTTTGTGTATGTGCTCATCTCATGCGTTCACAGTCATAGGTTAACTAAGTTTTAAAAAAAGGCGGATCAAGCCCACGATGAGAATGTACGAAGATCTCAGATTAACGAATAGGCCCACTAGTGAATACTGTTCTGCTAATGAAATCGAGTAGGCTCGCTTTGATAATGTTCCTCTGCGGATTTTTATGTCTGCTATTTTACGACCAAACCGTTTGATCTTGTTCCCTATTGACGCTTATGTATTCATAACCCTTTTGCTATGTCTTTTTATGTCTTTCGATCGCCGGTGTTGTTCCGTAATTGGGACGGTTATTAAACTATTATAGCACGTCTGAGCGCATAACATATAGGCATGCTAACCTGTAGCAATACGGACATTGGCCGCCTGTACGTGCATTTTTTTCTATCTGAACGATGTTGCAAAAAGAGCTCCTGCCAAAAGGCTGCAAAGCAGAGAACATTATAGAATTGTAAATAAAACGCTTCAATAAAAAAAAAGCATCGATCCTTCTTAATATATGCATAGCAGTATTCTACACGATTATGCCGTTTGGGGTACAGCATACTCGATATGATAGGCCAAGTCCATCCCATGTGACACAGACACTGAATAAGTTTAGTGGAGGCAAAACTGGTATGTAGGGCAATAACGAGGATCAAGTTTTCTTTCGTTAATCATTACGTTCCTAGCATTTGGGTCCATATCCCATATTAAAAACGATATTGAGAGCTGAGCCATAAAGACAAAATGGGTTACATCGAGCACTATCTGCCGTTTCTATCCGACTCCTCAGACAAAAGAGACAGCGTCCTAGTATCGATGTTGTTGTTGTCGTCGTCATTGATGCCTGTGCGATCGTTTTCGCCTAGCCATAATTTACTTACGTACAGCGTCACGAGCTAGTCCCTTTCAACTATTATGTCATCCAATATGTAATTACATGCAATCAGAATCAGATCATGTTCACCGTATTGTCTATGATGCCAGCCACAATTGAACCCTTGTTAGATTGCGATACTGGCGGCCAAAGGAAGTCTCTGATGATAATAATAATAATGTCTTCAAAAAGTAATATGTCTCCAATGTTATGTAGAAGATTGTGCTTTTGTGTGACAAATTTCTTCTTTACTAACCAGCTGCTAATCTCCCTCTCCTTCGCTTTCTCTATTTCCATCTCTGGTTTTGTAGCATTCTGTATATGTATAAGATAATGTGTAGCACGCGCCCGAAGTTCGACTCTCTCCCAGAGAGTCGGTCAGCAGCATCTGTCTTCTGCAACTATAATCGCGTTTTTTGAATGATGCCATACATTTTAGGCTGTCCACTGTGAATTAGCTGCCTGTTACGGTAACAAGCAGTTTCTTAAAGTAATCAAGAATCGACCGATTTTATTACCATTCGCTTCACGGTAAGCCACTTACTGGCTACCTCTACGGACGGATGCTACTACTCACGACCAGTGTAGCATAGGCGAGATAGCGGATTTCAACAATGCTGGCGTGTATCTAATCGCTTCCGATGTCGTTTGCTGTTCCAGTGCTCGTGCACACGAACACTAACATACTCGCAGGTGCGTGCATGTACGCAGAACGAACAGGAGTGCGAAACGGAAGGATCTAAAGCGTTCGAAAATTGCTGCTAGCCATAGTGCGCGCCAACGACAAATTGCGGCGCCGATGCAGTGTGTGAAATTTAGACACTAGTATTAGCGGTGGAAGTAATAGGCAGACGACGAACGAACCATTGCATTAGATCAGAACACGATAAAAGCCTACCTACCCACGCCATCGACTCTCGTATAGCAAGAGACCCTATTTTCGATTGAAAAACGCAATGGCAGTTCAAGTTAGACGTATTCGATCGTAGTACGTGAATTACTGTTCGTAGACTAAAAAAAACTGACATTGGTACCGTTCTTTAATACTTTTGCCTTCCACACTGAACGTTTCCTTTGTCGCGATGACGCGTTTTGAACAATGTTGTTGAAATTATTCTCTGTATATATTGTTTCGTATGTTTAATGAAGCAAACATTGACATACATATGCTACCAGTTAGTCGCGATATACTGCCAATCGAGCGGGTCGTATCAGGCAGAGCAAAATACCAATAGATCAGGTCGGTCCTAATCGTCTTGCATTATTTCTCTCCTACATATATAGGATCATGGAAGCAAGCACACTCTTAATTAAAGGTGAATCGTATGATGTTAACTCTAGCGGGTAAACTAAAAGGCCGCTGGAAATTTCATTGCAAGCTAACGTATTTGCGACCGCGCATCAACTGATTCAGAACTCCTGAGCTTGATTTAGCATTCAGCGCCCTAGATCTAATTTAATTTCAATCCATAAATCAAACTATGTTCTTGAATAAACTACAGATAAGAAATAACTTTTTTATCCATTCAAATTATGCAGTATGTGTTGTCGATGGGGGTTGAAGCGGCGAAAATTAATTACAGTAACCGTCGTTATTTAAAATGCGCGCCATTTTTTGAATAGTATCAGATCTATATACATTCGGTAACACAGTGATTCGGTAGATTAATTCTAATACTAAAATAAAGTACGTTATGTTCACATAAAGCGTAGAATAATGCGACAATTAGAGCTAATTTAAATATTCTTCTAGCGAACTAAATGTCTAGTCAGCAAAATTATCTAAATTTTTTTTACGGATATGCTTTCTCGTATCAGCAGGTTGATTCTGTGCATCAAACACATTCTAATGACACGATGGCAAATGAACTACCTATAATGTAGTCTTTGAATATTCATAATAAATATTTAATACAAAAATATCTCTAAGGAAGGCAGACTCATACACGATAGGAAAGCTCATTTCGTTGGCGAAAAGTATTGAGTGGCGTCCGTGTCCGTATATGACCAATCAAGTACATTTAGGTGGTTGTTGTAACAAAGGAGTTACCGAAAAAATGCTATAAAATAAAAATACTTGATGAAATGCATCATGTAGTACGTACGATGCAAACATGGCATTCATTTATGAGCGTCCGACCTCTCGTGCATTTGACCTGTTCGCGGCTCCTTCGGCCTGTCGTTGTATTCGGCCTCTTGCTTACATGATAGTGTAGCCTAACGTAGATGCAACGCTGCTATTCAAGACCCCTAGGGGCCTTGAAAAGCAGCGTTGTTTTTCCGTACTGTATCTACTGGGAGTAACACTGTTTGCAGTTAATGGCCTAAAACATTTGAAAAGTGTGCTTTACTTCAAGTGACCTTTTTGTATATTAACGATTCTATCGAAGATCCTGTTACCTTTCTTCGATAAAATTTTGATTTGAATAAACAGGCTAAACACTAATATAAAGGCGCAGGGATTTATATGACGTCTTGTTGTGACGTGTGTTGTAAAACGTGTCCTTTTCAAAAACGATTAAAAGACAGCTAAAAACGAATTATCCTATTGACTGACTCACGACTCTTGTTCCTATCAAAACCGCTGTGAACAACTAAATTGATGGAAAGATTGCAAACCACCCTGGATGAGCGGCGAGATAAAAGTGCTTAAATAGAACGTTCATATTTTCGATTTTATCTTCTCTCTTTTGTCAATCAATTTATTTAATAAGTATGTTCTTTTAAATGTACATTTTAGAATACGATGGTTAACTGAGGAAGTATTTAAGTGCATTTGTTTTGTTAATATCACGGGAACCATTGGCCACAGGCGTAATAAAGAGCCTTTTAAAGTCGACATGACCAGATCCCCGGCGTTATTACGTTATTAACTCCAAAGGTTAACTTGATATGAGAAAATCGTAGACAGTTAAACATTTCTCAGGCCAGCTAATGTGTCCTAAAAACAAGGAAGGACATTAAATAATAATTTAAAAACAGGCGCATTTGAAAAAAAAATCAGTAATTTGCTTGCGCTGCTTGATCTTTAACAGACAGTTATAAATCTTAAGGTACATTAAGACCGTCCTGAAATGGCCTTAATTCTTTACTGAATCATTTGAAAAATCACCGCGTTCTTACAGTTCTTCCATCATCGGCTATTAGCAGAAAAAAAACAAAAAAGTATAACGTAAATTAATTAATTAATCTCGTAATTAACCTTTAATTAATTGATGGCCTTTTAAACAATCTTTCCTGTTTTTCTTTTGTCCATTAGTGATTTGTGGCATGGCTGGACAAATGGAAATGCAAAAAATCAGAAATGAAGCTGCTGATATACAATGACAAACACCGCAAATGCAGTGTATTGCCATGTTCAAGTGTCCTTTACAGGTCCGCTAGAAGCTAGTCAATGCAGAAACAGGGCTGCCGAGACGATATTCGTTACCGATACGATACTCACTAATATCGAGTCGATTCTTGCCCGCTACGATCCTATGGTATGGCCCACTTGAAATCCGGCCTCCTATGAACGTTTTGGCATTGGACGCTAACCCACAAAAGTCCAGCGAAAAAGGAAAAAACAGAACAGCATCGCTCGATTCGCTCAAATACGGCGACAAAGATGCACAACGTGAAATCCCTTTCGGACAATGGTAAAATGGCTATGACGAAATAAAAAAACACGAAGCTTCTACAGCTTCCTCAGGATTAAGTGATCTCTTGCGAAGACGTCGCTCCGCGGGGATCGGTCCTTCGTACTTAACCGATTCAAGATGGCTACGACGAGCCCTGCGGCTGTAGCGTCTTGCGTTGCTAGGAAACATCCAGCTGAGGTAACATTTTCTTCTAGTGCAATCAAGTGGTAACCTCATCGTGGTAGAAGCGAACTCTCAAGGACCAACAAGTTCTGACCGCTGCCTGCGTTAATACTATCAGAATAGTGCTATCGATGATACAGTTCCTAGTTGTTGGTTAGACGCTAGCAGTACGGTACGTTAAACTCAAAATATTTATTTAACCTTAGGCGGTATGTGTGCGTCTATCATTAGAACAACAATTTAAATTACAGGTTAATGTACCAGCAAAACATTAACCAGCGACCCGAGCAAATATAAAGAAAAGATATTGTAAATAGACTCATGCACGCAGTACAAATGTGGAGATATGGTACATGTATAAATGCAACGCGTCGGCGAAGAGACACTCATACATCTACACACGGCCACGTCGCTAGCTATAGCTACCATCACCATGAATGGTCCACCGAAAATATGTTGGTCGCACTGCGGCACAAGGCGGCAACGACACCAATCTCGTACCCGACCTCGAAGCCAATCGTTCGGGTTGGGGGAGCGTCTCTCTTTGACAGCAGCAACAGAAACAACGTCAACATTAGAAGGAGAATAGGCAGAATCACCATCACTTCACGATCGACTTCAGTTGCGGCCTCACCCTTTACTTCGTCCGCTGTCTTACTTAACAAACGGGCGACGAACAAAAACCGAGCTAGTAAAATTCGACCGCAGCGATCCTATATTGAAGCTATAGTCGCACGGTACCGATCAACCAGTCGGTGAGCGACCGGCAGGCAACGGACGGTAAAGCACACGTGCGCAGGAGATCAGGCTCGTATATACCTCGATGCAGTGGATGGTTTATCGCTTTTTGGCAGTTTTTTTTAAAATTTTATATTTATACAAATTTAGATAATAGTTATCATACATTATCTTTTATCATATACGCGTTGGCAAAGCGTTGAATGGATAAAACACTTGTCAAATGAACGACACCTTATTTGCTATACGTATGCACATCATAGCAATGATATATCGCGCCGGATGGCCCAGAGACGCACAGCGCACAAAGAGCAAATACAAAAAAATATTGAAGAATTAAAAAAAAAACTTCATTTAGCCAGCATTTTGATTTCTAGAGCTGCAAATATTAGTCAACTATCTGCCTTCTATTACAAACATTTGAGAGAAAAAAACGTCTAGTTATACTAATGTGTGCTCATACGGTGTCGGCCAAGATATCTGTGCCAGACTGTCAATGTAATCCAAGAATGAAGTCCAGTGCCAAGATGTCGAATCAGAAAGAATGACTTAATCATTGCCTTTCCAGATAAATCAACTTTCCATCATGCATCAGTCGCTTTCAGTATGGGAGGGTTACTAAGCCAATATTTTTCTTCTTTTTACTGAAAAATCCGCCCAAATTTTCCTGTTACTCGATTGATGAAGTCAGAAATATTCTAAAATTTCCGATAGCACACGAAATTGACCTTAAGTCCAAATCAAGCTTCACTTTAGTAGAATTTGGGAGAGCTATTGACCTTTATAGCCTGTTGTTGTCGCTACAGCTTTACGCCCTCTTCAAGATAAAAGCCGATATCGAAGCTCGATGGAAAAGCAGTTCTTAAATCCTTAAGATAAACATATTGCTAAATAACGATGGTCCCTAAACAGCTACTGCTTATACTTTAAGCCTTGAACAAGTTTATCTAACACAGATAGAACATTAATATGCATGCCTATAATATGCACAGCGACTCGTATTCACTGACTTCAGATAATTACGTACGTGAGTCATTGCGGCTTTCGTTGCTGCGGTCTTTTCGAACCCACCTTTCGGGCCCCGAGCGCCGATTATTTCTATTGCATGAATCACCGGCCTTGATTGAAAAATCGTGATATTATTCGATCGCGGATACTTTTATGCTGCTATTATGTTGTTTATTATGTGCTCAAATGGAACGTCACTAGATTAGCTAATGAATTTTTATGGTCTGTTATCGCCTGTACTGTCATCGCAATTGTTTAATACCTCCAGTGTTTTTGTTGCGATCTAGCTGGGGAAAGGTTCACCTAGTTTACCAAACATAATCCACGATCAATGGGTAGTTTCCTTGTATGTGCTGATGTCTTCGCTTTGATTTTGTGCTTAAGCCTGCGGTAAAGGTCGCTCAGGGAAGAAAATTCGACCTTTACTCGTACCTCTAACGTGATAAACAGTCGTTTGAGCCTTCAGCATGATTCCACCGTCCTTTAAGAGCGGCTAATGCAAATGATGTTACTTCATACGATATTCGTTCTCGATCTTGAAAGATGTCTTGATTCGGATATTTTTTCCTGGTCTTTTATTTTTCTTTTTTCATTCGTAATCTTCGTAGCGTGCCTGCCTTCGTTTCTGTTTGCAATTTCTCATAGTGCTAGTACAGGTGCCTGTTATGACTGATGACTCTGTCAGTTGAACCACTCAATGACTGAATTCAGGATGTGATCAAATCTACAGGGAATACGGAAAGGCTGCTAGAAGTGACAAGCAGCTATAACGAAATCGTGTTATTGGAAATGTAGCCTTCTTGGGAAGCTCCTAGAAATAGTCGTAGTTTATAGTAAGTGTTTATGCTCAGGAAACTGCGCGCACTTAAGAGAAATGTCTTTGCTGTCTATAATTTGAGAAAAGGCACTTTAGTACGCATGAAAAATAGCTGATCTAATCTTTTCCCCTAGAATTAAAATTGTTGTTTTTGTCCCTGGTTCTTTATCGCTGACAAATTGTGCCCCGTTTCCTTAACCGTATCGGCAGCCTGTTAGCGTGTCTAATTTAGTCTGTATTTATTTTGCGCTAGTTAAAGAGTGATGGCAGCAAGGTAAGCGATACACCTTGTCTAGCAGAGCCGCTAATAGCTTGTTCCAGTCACAGCACAGAGAGGTAGATATAATATCACATCAATAAAGAAACAGCGTGTTAAAAAGAAGGTAAGCCGTCTCTGTCTCTTGGGATTACCTTTCGATGGCCTCCATTACCCCGATGTTTGAGTCCTCACCGCAGGTTTCGTTCGTTGCAGAAGAAGCTAACAGAAATATATATATATATATATATATATATACAGCAAATGAGTTTCATCGTAACGGAAACACTGCACATCACGGCCGTCCGTCACAAAAGACGGCGTGGGTCTGCCAGCATTTTACCACTGTCGTAGTCGACACTGTGGTTCGCTCTGATGCAGCGACAGCTGCACGGAAGATACCCTGGATCTTCGTTAGTTGCCGCTCCAGGGTATCTTCGTAGCCCGGGGGCAGTACGGAGATCTTTAGACAGTAATTAATTTCGCATTAGAATCTCAATCAGGACTTGAATTATCGTATAAATTATGAATATTTATTTCTAGTGATTGCACAGTCTTCCTTCGTTTCTGCGTCCGTCTCAAGTTGATCAGCGAAGACAACGACTTCTAACGAGACGAGCCAGACTGCACATAGCGCGAGCGCACGTTATTATTACACACAGACACCCAAAGGAGAAATGGCGGAAAGGGTGCAGAAGACGAACCCCGATGGAACCGGCAGAGGATTCGCTAAAACCGTCGATAACGTGTAAACGAACCAACAGATTCCGAAGAGCTTTAAATCAGCGAATAAATGAGTGACGCGCAGAGCCTGTTGCGTTAAAATAAATAATAAATATTATCTAGAATTACCTTGCTGCAACCACTGCTCTCGTTAGCGAAGCCGCGTAATTTTCATCAATTTAGTCGCATGAGACAATTGACGACTAATAGTGCTCTTTATTACCGCGAAGCAGATAGCTGTTTGCTTGATCTCCGCTATGCTACAGACAATTGTTCCAGTCCCGGTGTATCAGATACGAAGTATTGACTCCTGTGGACGTCGCGAGCTCTAGATAGCAGTGTTATACTAGAAATTAATGAATTAATGGGCGAAGACTTGTGGAAAAATCGAGACCCACATGTTCCCACAATTATGACAAAAGAAACAAGGAACTAATCCACGGCACGTAATATAATGCTCTATGTAATGTAATAAATAATGCTCTATGTAATGTAGGGCAGAGCGATCAGAATTCATTTTAATTTGACTATTAAAAAAATGCCTGGTCTGTGAATAAAAGCTTGAGCACCTTTGCACACTGTATGCTAGATGCCGAGTCGAGTTGTCGTGCCGGTGTACGATACAATAAACCCTTGAACTTGAAAGTTATCAGATGTGAAGTCAACGAACCTTTTTTAGTATTACGAATTTCATCGAAAATCCCCATTCGATGACTCAGGACGCCTGCTGGCGGGAAATGGCTATTGGGAGTGCGCCATCCAGCACCGCTGTGGAGTGACCTATAGATCTTGGATTGAACCGATGTCAGTTGGCCGGGAAAAAGCGGAATCCGTCTTTGTGGTGTGTAACTCTCAGGATGCGTAAACGTACCAAGCAAGAATTGACCATTCAAGCTTGGCAGCCAGCTTGAGAGGCACGAAAGAAGCCATAACAGCGAAAGCGACAGAAGCTGTTGTAGGGGTGTAGGTCGAGCCATTTCGGCCTGCAAACAACAACAAACAGGACAGTAACATTAGCTTAGCAGAACTTGCTTGCGTGCATTACTGCCATTGTACCACTCTTCATCTAACTACCGATTCTGTTAGCGGCACCTGTTACAGAGTAGTACTAACGAGACTTATCAACTCGGTGAATCCGATACTAAACATCTTGTTTATTTTACCCGACAGTGCCTGTGGACATCCACCCCCGAGGTAGAGCGTGTAGGCAGATTCGATGCGCGATGGCAAAACGTTTTGATTTCTCGTATTAATGACGACCGCTCTTGCAAGCCAACTTCATTAATCGACGACTATCTAGACTGTAGGTAATATTCGAAGTGTTTAGCCTTCAGTTTTTTTGATACAGATTGATTAAAATTTTAACTTGAATTAAGACGACCTTAGTACATTTGTCGCCCTCAACGTGCCCGCGAAGATTCAAACATTTTGCATTAGAATTTCCTCCAAGCCAACAACCACCGAGGATTATAAACAACGCTTGGTAAGTCAGGTTCACTGGTCTAAAGAATGCTTGTACTTTGTTTTGCGTAACAATCTATTTTTCAATTTCTGAATGCCAAATTTCTTATAGACAATAATAAAGAAAATCACTAGCATGGCCCTTCTCACTAATGAAAATACTTTATCGTTAAAGGCAGTTTATTCCTGTTGTTATTATAATTTATGCGAATTTATTTATTAAATAGACTCGTTTCTTACTATTTATTTTATCTTATTGGGCCTTTAGGTGCTCATGAACTTATCCTACGAATTTTACCAAGTGAGCTTCCACTTAGTCACGTCGTAGCGTAATAGTTGACCATGATACAACGCTAACCATCTCACAATCTAACCTCAATAATCAGCTCTAGGTGAGATGAAACCTCGCCGCAAATACAGTCCCATCCGAAGAATGCTGGCAAAACGTCAGGTCGAACATCTAGCACATATGGAGGGCAGCATGCGTATCTGTATGTATGTATGTATGTATGTACGTACGTACGTACGTACGTGCGGTGTTTGCTAAGAGGGAGCCTGACAGATCACTGGCGAACGACCGTCTCACTATGGCATTTCACCTTCATTTTGCCAACGGACCCTGCTGCGGCGTTTGCTTGCTTTGAGTTTAAGAGGTCAGTGTATGTGTTTTTTGCAGCTTTGTCGCCGTGTGTGATGTCTGCTTTGCTCCATGCCACACGCAATATCGATATTGCTGATCGTTACGCTGCAGAGGGAAGGAACAAAAACAAGCTAAGAATTACCAGCTATTAGCAGACCGATTTACATAACAATCATATTAATCGTACTAATAATAGTGACGCAGGCGTTCATAGAACAATTAGTCAAACAACCTGTGTAAACAAATGATCCCACAATGATAATCCTAATAGTCAGTAGAAGAATTTCGTTTCAACATTTACACCAGGAACAATATATTTTGGTCATTTATTGATTGTTATGGCTCCTGGCACGGTCTCTAGCCGCTGCTGCTGCTGCTGCTGCTGTGATAGTCAATGTAGTAAACAGACTGGTACTCTTCTTATTTCCGTCTAGGCGTTCCCTAAATGTGCATGTTACTGCCTGGCGGTCCGTCTAGTTGTTTATTTGCTAATAATTCAATGTATCTACGTCGTATCGTGTGCGACGCAGAACGAGTTGATTTATTCATTTGGTTGATCATTATCGAGGCTGTTGTTGCTGAAGGAACAGCTATAGCTATCGTACTTCGTTTGGAATATATTTTGAGCTTAAAGTTTTATGTTTTGTACTGTTTGTTAGTACAGATTCCTGTAGGACGTTACCATTGAATATACAAGACCCCACACCGGTCCAAGTCGCTATGCAACAATTATGGTGCTACATGCGTGAAGTTTCCGCTGCGAACGAGGACTAGTGTACCCTGGATATTAGAAGAGAAAATGTCTTTCACGCACTGTGCTACATACCCCCGTATATCTATCTGTGAGGCAGGTACATAGAGGCTGTTCGGAGCAACACGACATTATAACGCTTCTTTTGTACTACAGCGTACCGCTACACTTTTCTCTCCCGCCAGCTTTGGCAAAAGCAGTACGAATACGAGAACGAGAGTGACGACGTGCAGTAAAGCAGAGAAAGCTCTTAATCCTTACCGGTTAGCAAGTGGTACAGTCTCGTTCTTTCGTTATAATGAGGATTACTCAAAAAGAAAGAAGCGACAGACGCGAAGAAACATGCCGCCATCAACATCTTCGCCCCTAATCGTCGACTCTGCTGGGGTATCTCTATCGCGTTGCCTGAAGTTACTCTCCCGCAGTCCCATTGCAGTTCACCAAAATGCCAACAAAGAATCCCTAACACGTCTGGTACAGCTTGTTTGCAGCGGCCGGCCCCACAATCGAGGAATCAAGAGAGAATGATATGATGCGCCGGTATGACTGACTGCTGTTCGTCGCGATGACTGTGGCCATTCGCTTTTCAGCGCAATAAAATTAGAGGCGGACGCAGGCTCACTCACACGTACAGGCAGAACGGAACGAAGAACCCTAGCGCGCCGTTGCGACTGGAAAATCGCTTAATACAGTAACATTTTGCGTTGACTATTTTTGTAAGCCGCTGTCCCTTGTAGACAAACCTGATCGGTTTTTGGACTCTGGGTCCGTCCATCCACTACTTGGGCACCAAAACGGAAATACGATCGAGCTAACAAACAGCAAAAGCAAGTAAGGATTGGGCAAAACGTAGAGCGACGAAAATCGGATACAAAAAAAATGGCTACTAAGCTTTGCGGGCCACTTTGATGCTCGGCTTGGATCGAGGGAACGGAATCGATCAGATACAACCTTTCGTAGTCTGTAACCGAACGGAACGTACGCAACCGACCCTAGGCATTGCAGAGTTATAATCAACTTGACCATACCTCTGGTGTCGAATCAAGACCTCGAGGCCATGTTCCTACTTGCAGCCAAAGACCGTTTAAAACATCAAAAATGTCAGAGTTTTCACGACTGCTGATAGTTGTATTAGGTACAACCGCTGCATCACACACAGAGTATAAAAAAATGTCAGCTGTTTTTCTTCTAGCTATTAATTGCATGTTACTATGTGGCGTATTTGATAATTCTAACACTTCTTCCACGACTACGATTATGAGCTGAACAAGTATTTTTGCGATCATCAGGACGCTAGCCGTGATTATTACTCCATTAAAAATGCGAAAGACTGGCAAAAAGATGTCAACGGCGATTATTAGTATCAGACAGGCCGACTTCAAAGGATTTACTATCGAAAAAAAAAAAATAGAGGAAATCTAGGCCCCGGTTTGAATTCAGTTTCAGTTCTGCAGCGGCTTGTATTTTTAAGCTTACAACCAATCTAAACATAACGTATTTTCTGCCTGTCTTATTGAGGCGACAGTTTACACCTTTTCGCATAAGATCAATGGCGACTGAGCATACTTCCGGCGTTTTCTTTGCGGCGGACGCCCTGAAGGATGTCTTTATACAATACAAAACACGACGTAAACTCTACTGCTATGCGAAATCAACCGAGCCTTGCTTTTTGTTTCTGTACTCATTCTTGTCTCTCTCTCTCTCTCTCTCTCTCTCTCTCTCTCACTTGCGTTTACACTTAGTTATTTTCTATCTTTTTTCTGCTTTTTTCGCTTTTAATTTCGATCAGCTTACGTATAGTAGAATGTAATTCCGAAGAACGCTTCTCAAATAACATAATAGTGATTAAAATTATGACAAATCTTTCTTTGACGCACTTTAATAGTTTTATTTCAGCAGAATGTTGCATGCTATTAAAAAACAAATGCGCTTATAATCTTTTGAAGCAACCTTTTCATCGTCTGGCTATCGACCGAACATATTCTACTACCGTTTACAACTTTAGAAACGAAATAGAACGCTAGAGGATGCTAATAGCTTTTTGTCTCATCATTGCCCTGTAACTTAACGAAAAAGTTAGGTGTTTGATTCAATATTTAGCTGGCATATAAACGGAATTTATTTTCAAATTTTTATTTACTCACATCAAAGAGGCGTTCTACATTCTACACGCTCTGGAACGACCCCATGTTAACAACCAGCACGACGACTTATCTGGGATTGTATATAATTAGCGGGAATAAACAGGCAGCTAGATGAACAAGCACACAAGAAAAAGCAATGCACGTCTTGTGTACCAGCCCAATCAGATTGACGCTATGAATGCTATGAAATATACCCCCTACTCAAAAAAACGCGACTGCCGCTTCAGAAGACCTAATGTAAACCTAGTTTTCAAACGCACGCATTAGCAAGCGCCCATGGCTAACTCTAATACAGTAAAGACAAATCATCAAAGCAGTATTACGGTACAATCAGTCGGGCTATCTTGACGCACGGTAATGATATATAGACTCTTTGCTATGAACGTTCGATATAGAGGAAAAACAACGTGGCTGTACAAAGTGCATTTTTATAATTATAGAAAACAGGATTTGTTTCCTTTTTACTGTTGGTAATTTCATAATGACAAAACCTCAATCTGGAACAAATTGCAGAAATATAGGTAAAATAAACTGGGAAAGACAAGCAAATGTATAAATTCTCCGAAACGTATTTTCCTTTGTGTGAGCAAAATAGAAACGCGACGACAAACGGCGTACCATTCGTTTCAATCGGACCTAACGAAATAGTCGTCCATTTGTTGGCATCTTTGACTGAATATTTCTAACTGTTCCTTGCGACCCTACTTTGCAGCGTTACTGATCTCTGTATCTTCTACAATACACAGAGACACCGACAAGCGTTGCTAATTTGCCAAAAGCAAATGGTTATCTCCACATTCTTCTGGGTCCTCCTGGCCAAATCCTCGTGCCACCTTTACCGCCCATCGATGTCTACTAGAAGTTTTCAGGGACGACGAATTAGCCTACATTAATATTCATAATACTACCTTTAGCTGATGCTGTTAGCAGATGAAACCAGGAAAGCACAGTGGCGCTCGATACCTGGTATTCCTCTCCATAAATAGA